TAACTTGATTTTATTTTCTATGCTAGTGGTTATCAGACAAGGTAGCATATACCTCTAATCCCAGCACTTAGGATGCAGAGGCAGGGGGATCTCTGTGAGTTCTGTGTAGGCAATGTTGTTCCATATGGCAAAATTCTAGGCTGGCCAAGGCTATAAGTAATACCGTTTCAAAAAAAAAAAAGCACTAGTGGATATATTATTTTACGGCTTAAATGATCAAGATTAAACAAAAATACAATATGGAGGAGATTGTAAAATGTACTAATACTAAATCAATGTATTTAGACAATTTATTTCCGGGAGGTTTCTGGACACTTGCAAGCTTGGGCTGTCTATCTTTCTGTCTACACACAGGTCCTGTGCTTCATCAGCGCTGTTACTTCCGCTCACATCACCCTTTTCTGGCTAATTTCTTTCCCATGTCTAGTACCCTGACTACTCCTTGTGGAGTGGTAAAGATAAGCTAAAATCTTTTCAAATGGCCTGTAAATAGATGAATTATTGCTATTTCACATTAAGAGAAAAAAAGGCAACATGATTTGGTTTGTCATGTAAGCAAAAATGTTCTTTTCACTTTCAACTTTGAAACAAACAATCATTGGCTGAATCCACTTTCCTGTCAGGTGCAACTTCCACATTACTCACTGTTGTCACACAGGAACAACAAAACACAGTCCAGTGAAATAATTTCTTTGACAGTTGGGGGGTGTCACATACAAGAATTGATATATCAGCCATTATTTCTCTTTGTGCTTCTCATCTTAGCAATGATGCGACTCATGGAACTATTGTTACAGCCTGTATAGAGTAAAAATGGTGGCAGTCATCACTATGTTAATCAGGTTGGTAATTATTAACATTACATTTTAATTGGTCACTTAAAACATCAATGTACATGACATACTGTAAGTCAGTCTAGGATGTCAATCTCATGTTGAATCCAACTACGGCTGTGTGAAATATCTGCTTTCCCCGAATTCCATTTGTTTCCAGTAGCCAGTTGAGACTCCTTTGCTAAGTGTGAAATCGAAAGTTCCACCTTGTTTTTCACAATTTAATTCACGCTTCTTGCATTCAATAATTTTAGTGTTTTGAAATGGTTAAGTCTGGCAAATTTTTATGTTCTAGCTGCAACATCCCCAAAGATAAGACAGTTCCATAGCCACTCCGATTGCTGCTCAGGTAAATATTTCACTTTTTTTTTTTTTTTACTTCTTTGATATTTTAAGTAATACATTTGTTGGTAAAGAGTGGTTAGACAGCAAACATTTCTGCATATCACACCCTTCTCCCCTTCAGCCTTCCCTCCTGACATTGCCACATCTCTCTTCACATTTGATGGAGGCTGACGTCCTTGCTCCACCTTCCAGAATGTACTGGCGCTCCCTGTACTAGAATGCATTGGCAGTGTGGACAACATTCAGCCTCACTGCAAAGCCTGTAGATGTTTGGTTACAGCTACTTCATTTCTCCTATTGGCTTGTATGTTTTTTTTTCCCTTAAAACAATACCCTCATGGGTTCTCATGCTATAGTCTATTCTGAAAATTAAAAGGATTTTTTTTTAAAGGAAACTCTCTGGATTCTTAAGAAACTACTCTGCTCAATAAATAATTGTATTTTCAAAAAATAATAATTTCCCGTTTACTTTTCTGCATAATATGTGTGGTATTTAGTCAATGGAGCCATACATTTCAGTTCTGAGGAACTGCTTTTTATTTTGATAATCTCAACCCATTATTATTTTACATTAGGCATTTTTTAGGAATGCCTGAACATAGGCATAAGTATCCAATCTCAAAACTTCTTTTCTAAACTTCAGTCTTTTATGTTTTATTTCTATTTTGTCTTTGGAGTGTCCTCCAGTTTACTTTAGAACTTTCCTTGACTGTATTTGGTCAGTTCTGATTATTTTATTTTCAGAAATTATTTACCAGTGTCTGTCATTCCCTTAAAATAAGTGATATCTGTGCTATGAACTGAATACCTCTCCATGTGCCTCTGAAGATGCCAGTTTTCTGATAAAAATCTCCATTTCCCAATCATTCTAACCTATTATATACATGTATTTAGTGTTTATATGTGTATGTGTTTGTATACTCCTAAGTTCTGTATCTCTCTCTTCAGTTTGCAGATTTCCAGGCTGATATTCTTTGGCCCTAGCACAGACAGACATAGCATGCATTTTCTGGACCCAGTATGCTAAGCCTCCTGCAGACTGCATTCCTTGTGGAGGAGAAAAGCCCACGCTCTTGCTCATTCTGAAGACTCAGGATTTCTTCTCCCTCCCAGTGGTTAGCAGCCTGGCTCTACTCCATTAACAAGCCTGAGACAAACTCTGAAAGGCCCTGAGTTCTCTTTTCTTGCTTAGCCCTCTCCTTTGCATTAAATATTATTTAAATGTACATCATTTATTTCCTTTTCATTCCAGTTAGTTCTAAGACGGAAAAGTCAAAATTATGTGTGTGTTTAAATTTCCACCTTATGTTATAGATAAAAGAGAGGAAAATGAGAAGGAGTGAAGGAAAAACAAAGTGCTCTGTGAGGTTCTGAGAAGGGGCAAACACAGCAGTTGTTCTTTTTGTGCAGTGAATGTGATGTGTAGATGTCCACAGACAGGGTCTAGTTAGGGTGTTCCAAATGTGAATGAAGAAGGAAAAAATGACTTTGTGTAGTTGACACTTGTCAATAAGCATTATTTATAGATTTTTTAAAGGAATAACAGCACCTGATTTTTGAAAGATCTTGGTTTTTATTAATATGAAGGATGTTCATAAGAAAGAAATGTAGTTTTGAATGATCTTGTTTACTGTTGCATCTTTGCATGTATCTTAGGGCCAGTATATGGCAGAAAAGAGTCATCCTGATTGGAAAGAAAATGTATTCAATTATGGACCTGTATGTTAGGCATTTAAATTGGTTCCAAAAATGTACTATGAAGTCTCATGTTCATGACATCTCAATTTGTTAGGAACAAAAATATCCATTTTCTAGTAAGGTCGTTGTGGAAATATGTTGCTTATAAGCCCTCGGGTTTCAGTAAAATATTTTCTTCATATATGTTGTTTTACTCCATATTTATGTATGAGCTAGAAGATGAGTCAAAGTACACTATTCTTTCCTTAGCAGTTACAACCAAAGTCTGGTGAAAATCATGAATTGAATTATTTTATTGTCTTTTATGTAACTTATTGCTGCCTATGCTTCTAAGAAACTCTAAATGAACACCAGATGGATAGTTATAATCACACATTTACAGGTTTCATTTTATTAGGATTGTTCCCATCATCGCAAACAGGTATGTTTCTCTTCATTCTCATTGTTCTCATCTTCCTGACAGCTTGGATTGGCAACCTGTCCATGATCCTCCTCATCCTCCTGGATTCCCATCTCCACACACCCATGTATTTCTTACTCAGTCAGCTTTCTCTCATTGACTTAAATTACATCTCTACCATTGTCCCTAAAATGGTGTCTGACTTCATGTTGGGTAATAAGCACATCTCCTTCATTGGGTGTGGGTTTCAGATCTTCCTCTTCTTGACTTTTGGGGGTGCGGAGACCCTTTTGCTGGCTTGTATGGCCTATGACCGCTATGTGGCTATTTGCTTTCCTCTCCACTATGCTATACGCATGAACAAAAGAGTGTGTGTGCTGATGATAATAGGATCTTGGGTGCTGGGCTCCATTAACTCCTGTGCTCACACGGGGTATGCACTTCACATTCCTTACTGCCGATCCAGGGCCATCAACCATTTCTTCTGTGATGTTCCTGCCATGTTGACCCTGGCCTGCATGGACACATGGGTCTACGAGTACACAGTATTTGTGAGCACAGTCCTCTTTCTTGTGCTTCCATTCATTGGTATAGTGTGTTCTTATGGTCGTGTTTTCCTTGCTGTCTACCGCATGCATGCTGGGACAGGGAAGAAGAAGGCCTATTCTACCTGTAGCACTCACCTCACTGTGGTAACTTTCTACTATGCACCGTTTGCTTACACTTATCTACGTCCAAGATCCCTCCGATCTCCAGCAGAGGACAAGATTCTGGCAGTCTTCTACACAGTCCTCACCCCAATGCTCAATCCCATCATCTACAGCCTGAGAAACAAAGAAGTGATGGATGCAATGAGAAGAGTAACTCACAGAATTTGCTTTTCAAAAAATGTAGACAAGTTGCCTACCTAAGTTTGGGACTTAGGTGCAAGAACACTCAGCTTCATATTCTCCAGTTATACCATAAGATCTCAAATATTCTGAAAGAGATTAAGGATAATAAAGCATTGAGTAAGGGGCTCTGTCTCAGAAGTAAAAATTAGGAACTAAAATGTCATTCTTTTTTTTGCCTCTTAACATTTTTCTTTAATTTTATTTTTGAGATTATAACATAATTACATTTCTCCCTCACCTTTTCCCCCTCCAACCCTCCTTTATGCCCCTTCCCACTTTCCTTCAAATTCATGGTCTCTTTTTTTGTAATTTCTTTTATATGCATCGATGCATATTTATATACATACATACATATATGCATACATACACACATACATACACATCTATATGTATAAAACAAGCATAACCTGCTCAGATGGTATAATGTTACTTGCATATATGTTTTCAGGCTGATTGTTTGGCACTTGACAATCAAATAGTCTGCTCCTCCTGGGGAAAGCCACCTCTCAAGCTCCCAGCTTTGCTTTCCTCAGTTGCCTCAAGTTCTTTGTATAGGGTTGAAGCCTCACGGACTTTTCCTTGTCCGTTTGCATATCCATTGGTGTTCTTGTTCTACTTGAGTTTGGGCAGTCATATTGGTGAGACTTTATGGGTGTAGCTTCTGATGTTACTAGGATACACAACCTCACAGCAAAGTTCCGGATTCTCTGGGTCTTGCAATTTTACACCCCTCTCTTCCACAATGTTCCTAAACCTTAGGTATGGAAGTGTTGTATAGGTAGGCCTTCACAACTCTTCATTTTGATTGACTTGCCATTTTCTGTAGTGGTCTCCATCAGTTGAAAAGACAAATTTTCTCAGTGAGGATGAAGATTATATAGGTCTGTGGATATAAGGACAAATGTTTATAGATAGCTGTTAGGGCTTATACTGGTTTAGTAAGTTCATGGTTGTAGATTCTCCTCCACTAATCATGACTCTACTAGCTAGGTTTCTAGTACCAAGCATGATTTTCCTCTTATTAAGTGGGTCTTAAGGCAAATTAGAGAGCTGTTGGTTACCACCACAGAATGCATACCACTACTATACTCTCGGTGTTATAAACCTATGTGGATTATTGATATTGTTCATAGGCATCATAGGACTGTTGGTTGCTTCCTTCTTTTGGAAATGCTCATGATGCCTTATGGTCCCATTAAAGCTAATTCTCAGCCAGATGGCATTTGGGTTCCTCCCAGCTCAGGAGTCTCAGGGACATGTT